GAAATGATGATAATATTATTGAGTAGAGGATGAAAAACAAGCTCAATCTACAGTATTTTTTTCATATGGCGTTTACCAAAGAAGAAATTAGGTTTGCAATTTTTATCATCCAAAACTGACACATCCTCTAATATTATCTAGTCTTCGAAAATTTATTTTTTTTATATCCACCAAAAAATATATTAATACACAAAAACATGCAGAATTTTTATTGCATTTTTCTAACTTTAGTTATTTATATTCAGTATTATCAATGTATTACCCTTCGCAAGCAGCTCCTTATATAAAACCAAATGATTTGATAAATGTCATGAGACTAGCTTATTACTCGTTACTTTGATAAACAAAATGATTATATATCATACAGTAAATTCGTTAACAATTTATATTATTGTTTGGCAATTTATTTACTGTATTGCAAAATGAGAAGATTTCCTATTTGAATGGATTTGGCTAATTCTTGAGCAAGTATTCTGTTGTAGTTCCACTTGAATTACAGCATTTTTCTAACATGAATTTATACTGTGTTATTCGGCATTTCACTTCAAAATTATTCTCTCTTAAATGTATTCGTTTTATGAAATAAGAGTTATTAGATGAATATCGTTTTTTTATTTATCATCATTAGGAAAAGACGTTATGAGAAGAAGATCATTAAATGATGGGTATGTCAGCATTTCTTTCAAATTAGGAAGTTAAACCAAACGAAGTGGAAAAAAGTGCAAATGTGAAACTTTCATTACTTTCCAGCAAAATGTCACGCTGAGTTATGATGGTTATCTTCTTATGATGATCTCTTCATTGTTTTCTTAGCTTATGAATACATCTCGAAAAGTACATTTAAAAACACTATTGTTCTATATTTTTCAATGCACTGTAAAGTGAAGATTAGAAACCGTTCGAAACTTATTATATCCTTTTTCTAATCAAAGATATATAACAAGTCTTCTGGAAGTCGTTCAGTATAGTTACAAATCATTTTTGTTTTACGTAGAGAAGCTTTTAATATTTTTCTTTTGTAAACAATGGTGAAATAAATACATAGTGCAATATTCTCCAGGTTTTCATAGAAGTATTTCATGATATTATAATCTTCAATATAGCTTACAAACGACCTTTGATGAAATGTTTACAAAACGATGCCATTAAATCGATCAATCAGAAGTCTGTTTTATGATTTTGTTTTTTAACTGTTTATATTGAAAATGAACAGAATTGTCATTGGAAGAAAGTCATACAAATATAAAATGTGCAAAATTCTGATGTAATTATGAACCAAGTCAGTACAATTCGAAATATAAATTGGCTATGCCCACGGTTGATAGTTCGGATCTTAGTAATGATTTATATCTTTTAGAATGTAGACAGTAGAATTTTAGACAGAATGTGTGTGTGCGACTTGTGTTTTACAGTATTTCATCTTCAGTTACTACTCTATGTACATTTCTATGATGTTTCTTCGTCAATATGAGATGAAATATTCAATCTAACAAGAGGAATCAATAGATTCTGATTTTTCATCCATAAACATTTGATTTTACTTTTTCTAAAACGACTTGATCGTAAAATTATATCAATACTTCAACACACTATCTCGAAAGCCTTATATTTAGAATGATTCGATTGTGGATAGAAATAATATGGTTTTATAAAATTTGACGATGTGTTTTCCAAATAAAAAAATCGATTCTATTCAAAAAAATCCATGAATAGATTTATAAAGATCGTGTCTGTTAACAGTATTAGATTTTGTTGTAAGATTTCATATGAGTCTATCCATTTTAACGAGTCGATACCGGTTCCAAGTGGAAATGAGAATTTTTTGCAGCATAAAACGGTTATCTTTCTACATTTAAGATTTTCATATTGATTTTCATATAGATTATGTCGATGTATCTTATGAATTATGAACAATATTAAGAAGTAATGATACTATTTTGTCAAAACCAAGTGTTTTTGTTACGAAAATGATCTTGAGGATGTGGATGTCATGTGGTTATTGGTTTGTTTCAAAAATGAATAAGACGTTTGCATCCATACCTACATCATAAAAAATTGTAGATTAGTCGCTTTTTTGATTATCCATTACTACAGACTTCTCAAAACATTCTAGCTGAGAAACGACCCGTAATGTAAGAACTCTTGGCTATACCATTGCTAGGTCACATGCTGCATATATCAAATGAACATAGGGTTATTTATGGTAATATTCAGTTTGTTGATAGTGTCTTCATCTTTTTCTTTGTGTTTAAACTTCTATTTGTAATTATTTTTGTTATACTCTCATGAGACTCTTGACTATTTTATGTGTCAACTCATCTTTCTAACGACTAATTGTCTCTCTCGATTAATTTTTTGCTTTTCGGGTTACTGCTTTATCTTTTGCCTTTGCATAGTTGAGTCATTAGTACATACGTTTTTTCTTTTTACGGTGTTTATAAGTCGATGTATATGATAATAAACAAAAGACTACATGCAGCTATCAATATTTATTTGTTCTGGATGAATACGTGCAACAAAAACGTTATAGTCAACAATCATATTCATTTCGATGGCGAAGGTAATAACGATGCGAGAAGACGAAGAAAGAAGAACGCTACTCAATGATAAAAAAACCTCATATATTAATAATGACCATCATCAACATCATTCATCTCGTCTTGAGTGGGCAGAATCATCTTGGACTCGATTTTTATATGTACTTTGTTGGTGGTGGATGAAACCATTGCTTTATGTTGCATATAAACGATCATTGACAGTAGATGACCTGGATGATATACCTCATGTTGATAAAGCTATGTTATTATTAGATAGACTATCTGCTTATGACTGGTCATTAACAACAACATGGAATATTGTTTGGAAAGAGTTTGGAAAAGAATACATATTTGCCAGTCTATTTTTAATTCCTTACTTGATCACATGTATCGCTCAACCATTACTTTTTCGTCAAATTCTTTTGAATATAATGAATGAAAAAGGATCGCATACTGTTAGCTATATGTATGCCATATCATTGTTTATTTCTATAATTCTACAAGCACTCATGCATCGACAAAATATTTTTCGTGCAGCTCGTGTTGGTATACGAATTTTGAATGCACTTACTATGATGATTTACATACGTGTATTGTCTCTAAAGTCGACATCATTGAAAGATATGAACATAGGTCAAATTATGAACTTAGTTGCTAATGATGTATCTAAATTTGAAGAATTGTGCTCATATTTGGGCTATCTTGTTGAAGGAGTTCTCGAGACTATCATCATATTTGGATTACTTTGCTGGATCATGCAACCTATACCAACATTATGTGGCTTTGCTTTATTGCCTATATTTATTCTTATCCAGCTGTATTTTGGTCGAAAATTTGCTCAATATTATGAAGCAACAGTTGTATGTAGTGATAAACGTATACAGGCATTTAGTGAGTTCATTCATGGATGTCATATTGTTAAAATGTACAACTGGGAGAAACCATTAGGGGATCGTATAGTTCAAATGCGAGAACATGAATTAGCAAGTATTCGACGTGCATCATACTTTCATGCACTAAATGTAACTCTATTTTTTACCTCTACATCACTTTTTGCACTCGTCACGTTCGGCAGTGCCTGGCTTTTAGGCTATCCATTGGATATAGCTAATACTTTTCCAGCTCTTTCATTTTTTTCCTTAATGCGAGTCAATTTTATGTATTATCTACCACTGGCATTGGAGAAGATAAGTGTGGCCAAATCTGCATCAAGAAGAATAGACTTATTTATGCGTCTTGCCATGAAACAAGACAATCATTCTTCATTATCTGCGTCTTTAATCAATGAGCAACAAAAAGGAAAAATAATGATTTCTAATGCATCTTTTTCGTGGCATAACGACATGCCTTGTCTATCATTGTCTGATCTGACTATTGAACAAGGTACATTTGTGGGAATTGTAGGACCAGTGGGCTCTGGTAAATCATCTTTATTTGCTGCTATTCTTGGCGAAATGAATCTTACCGATGGTCAAATAAATACAAATAATAGTTCATTTTCTTTTGCTGCTCAATTACCATGGATATTTGAAGATACATTTCGTAATAATATTCTTTTAAATCGACCATTTGATCAACAACGATATAGAAATGTTCTACATGCTTGTTGTCTTGATGATGATATTAGTGTATTTGGATCTCGTGATGATCTTATAATGATTGGAGAAAATGGAATTAATTTAAGCGGTGGACAAAAAGCAAGAGTATCATTAGCTCGTGCCTTATATACTGATGTAGACATTTATCTACTTGATGATCCATTATCTGCTGTTGATCATAAAATAGCTAAACAAATATATGAAAAATGTATTGGTCCATATGGATTGTTAAAAAATAAAACTCGTCTATTAGCTACTCATCAAACTCAATTTCTTAGTGAATCACATCAAATAATATATCTTTCCTATGGTCATATTGATAAACAAAGCTATTTGAATGAATATAGTATTAGAGAAAATGATACAAATAGAAATGAAAAATCAAAATTATCCAGTCTATTTGATGATCATAAATCGATGGATGACAATCAATCGATCATAGTTGATGAAAAACCACTAAATGATGGTGCCAGTTGGCATATTTGGTATCATTTCTTTACTGCACCACCATTTGGTAGAATTGGCTTATGCTTACTTATTGTTGTGTTTTTGTTGGGTGAAGCATTAAATAATGCTGCTAACTACTGGCTGAACATATGTTTGAAACAATCTGGTGAAGATCAACCAATTTCAACGAAATCTGTTTGCATTTATTTTGGTTTGCTAATTGCTTTAGTCATTACGGAATTAGTTCGTACGAACTATTATTTTACTGTTGTTTTAAATGGTTCCAATAATTTGCATAATAGAATGTTACAAGGACTTCTATATACATCAGTACAGTTTTTTGAAAGTAATCCAAGTGGAAGAATTCTGAATCGGGCAAGCAAAGATCAGTATGTCATCGATGAGTTACTGCCGATCGTGTTGTTTGAAGGAATAGAAGGATTTTTACTAGTGACTGGTGCATTGTTCATGATTAGTTTTATCAATCCATATGTTTTTCTTGTACTTATCTTATTAGTACCAGTGACTTGGTTGATAATTTATTTTTTCCTCAGATGTTCACGCCGATTTACACGACTAGAAAGTGTCACCCGTAGTCCTGTTTATGCACTCTTTTCATCATCTTTGAATGGCCTACCAACAATTCGTGTATTGAAAGCAGAAAACAGTTTTATTCAACTAATTGCTGATAGAATTAATGTGCATACATCTGCATTTCTCAGCGTAAAAGCTGTATTGCAATGGTTTTCAGTAATATTGGGTGTTGTTTGTTCGTTTATAATATTAGCTGCTTCTATTCAACTAGTAAATGTTCGTGATCATAACAAATCGCCAGCAGCTGCACTCAGTTTAACATATGCAATGTATGTAGCATTAATGTTCAGTTGGACCGTTCGACAGTTGTCCGAAGCTAATATGATGATGATAAGTGGTGAACGCATCGATGAGTATTCGAATTTACCACGTGAAGATGATGAAGGAAGCTACAAAGGTCTTGTACAAACTTCACCAAAATGGCCAGCTCATGGAAAAATTCAATTTAGCAATTATTCATTACGTCATCGATTGAACTTACAATATGCAATTAGAAATATTGATTTGAACATAGAGGCTGGTCAGAAGATTGGCATCATTGGTCGAACTGGTATGTATTAAGATTGAGATAATAGATTTTCTAATATCTTTCATGTATGTAGGTGCTGGAAAATCATCACTCTTCAAAGGCATCCTTCGCTTTGTTAATCGATCATGTGTTGATGGTAAAATTTTCATTGATGGTGTTGACATAAGTCGCATCACACTTTATCATCTTCGATCTCATCTGAGTGTTATTCCTCAACAACCTATCTTATTTAATGGAACCCTTCGATACAATCTTGATCCATTCAATAGTTATTCTGACGAACAATGTTGGATGGCACTTGAAGATGTTCAACTTAAACAGTTTGTGAGCAATCATTCAGCAGGTCTTCTAATGTCTATTAGTGAATCAGGTAAAACGTTGAGTGTTGGTCAATGTCAATTGATATGCATTGCAAGAGCCATCTTGAAGAAAAGTAAAATAGTATTGATCGATGAAGCAACAGCTAATGTCGATCAGAAAACAGATGATCTGATTCAAACAGTACTTAAAGATAAATTTCAAGATCGAACTGTTCTGACAATTGCTCATCGACTCAATACAGTGGCAAAATACGATCGTATTCTTGTGTTGGACACAGGAATGATAGTCAACTTTGATACTCCTACCAATATTTTACATTCTTATTGTTGATAATTTTAGAACTTTTTATTATGAAAAATGAAGAAAATCTAATTCTTCAAGTTTTCAATTTCATCAATAATAAATGAAGTTTTTCTCGACTGTTTCTACTCAACATTGTATTTTGATGAACATTTGTTCTTCTTCCAAATGGTGTGCTTTCAAATACATCGACTTACTTACAGTCTGTTGTTTGATAACAAAATTAAAGCGAAGAAAAGAGGAGAAAAAGATTTTCTTAAGAATCTGCTGTAATAAATATTGAACTTAATATTAAACTAAGAAAACGAATCAATCTTTCAACACCAAATAAGATATCATTATTACTTTCATTAAAATACACTTTTTCTTCTATAATACGAATAGCATACACCCAGAGTTTAGGCATATTATTGACTGGATGTGAGTGAAGAGAAGACTTGCACAGACAACATGCCCATATTCTTACATCCACATCTCATCAGTTTGGTCTTGAAATTTTAATTTTCTATTGGGACAAACATTTTCTAAATACTAATTCTTATGATCATTGCAGCAGAGAACTCCAATCTTCAATGCATTTGTCGAGAAAACAAAATTCTATTTTATTTTATTTTTTTATTTTTATTAATATGCATGGACAAGTGGTATTTTAGTTAGTTAACTAAAGTCAAAAAGTAATTCAGAAATAGGCATGATAAAATTCATTACTATGGCTATTCTATCACAATACCCACATGTTTCAAACACAAATAAAAGCTGCCGATGATCGTTTCATAATCTATGTAGTTCATCATTTGTTATCAGTTGTTTTTATAGTTTTAATGCATGATTTGACGAGTTCAAAAAGGCATATCGATTAAGTATTTATGTTCATATTGTCTTAATTGTCTCGAGTCTTGAAAAAAAAACGAAGCCCAAAAACTTTGCTGTTTCAGGAGCTATATATGTACAAATGATACATTATCTGACGGATTGGCCAATGAAGCTTCATCGGTTTGATCTTGGTACTTTAAGTTAACATTTGAAGGAATAGGCTTTCTTGATTTTCTATTATCTAAATTATCTCAATAGACATTACAAACTCTTGATGCCACAGTCTATAAAGTAAGAAAGAAAAGAAAATTTGCGTCAAACTACATAAACAACATATTTTACACACATAAGATACAACTATTAAATAGTATATGTATGTTTATTAGTTTTTACAAGTCAACATAGAGAACATCTAGGTAATTATTCGTGAAAGAACTTGGACAATATGATAGATGATCTTATTTCATCTAACGATGTGTTGCAAGATATGTCACTTCTATTATATTTCTCTAGACTATTCAGAACGAAGAAAAAAAAGAAAAAAAGGATTTTTTAGTTGCAATCTCATATTATTTAAAGTGATGTATTTCCATTTTCTCTTAGTTCCTGACTATTCAATGTGATTAATTAGGAAGTTTTCGAAAAATAAATCGAAACCAATGATCGACTCAACACGTGAAAATGATATAAGTTTTTGTGCTGTTATTAAGTAATAAGTAATGATCTAATGCATGATTACATAAGGATATAAGTGTGAAGAGAATACATTGATAGTCACAGTCACATTTCCAGCTATAACGCTACCAATAGATTGAACAGTTATTCACTGAATACTTTCAATCATATCAAGTACTACTTCTGTGTTTTCTAACTCTATCAGTACCAATTGCTAAATCGAAAAGAATAGGCATACTTAGCGTCATTGTTTGCTGTTTTGCATCTGTATCGTGTGTCTGCAACGTTCATATTATAACTATCTAATCAGTTCGTGAATTAATGATGATTGATTGATCAAACCATCTCTCTTATTCTAGCTACAGAGTTTCACTATGCATTAGCTTTCTCCTGAGCTATCTCTTCGCTGTTCGACTCGATGGTATTGATGTCCCTCGATTGATTGAATTCATTGATAAACTTATCTAAATAGTCTTTTCTTTTTGTATAAATGCATGAGATTGAGTGAAATGAAACGTGAACTGGACCAGAAATTGCAGTGACTTGAGTTTTAACACATGATTATATTTTTCTCAAAAGACGAAACGCAAAGAAGGCAGTGCATAAAATCTCTGATAAAACCGATAAAATATTTTAGCATCTTTCCGTTTTCATACACTGTTGTTGAAAATTTTTTTGGGTCAACTCATTCAATAAACGAAAGCTTACAGATATAGTCAATTAATACTAGTGCACAAGTAAAGAAGACAATTAGCATTGAATTTTATACATTTGAGAGTGTCTAAGTGAGCAGAAGGCCCAACTTAAAACCCATACATACGCTCTTTCTTCTCACTGCTTGGGAATTCAAAATTACCAGACGTGTTGACCAAGGAAATCAACTGTTCCTATTTTCAAACCCAAAGCCAATTTCAAAATGAAGGCGCATCATAAAATAAGATAACTTGCTGAGGCTTTTTAGACTTCTATTATTCATCAAACGAGAGTGTAAAAATTAGCAATATACCTCAAATATTCCATTTTCATCACAGTTTAGAAGAAAACTATTTCCAATATAGCTTAAGATTGATCTTCCATTTGTGTTTATGTAGCTGTAGGCAAAACTCCGCACTCGTGACCAGTTTAGCTAAAACACACAAGCGCAGATGGTTGGTAGCGATAATCCAGAATTTGAACTCAGACAAGTTAATAATCCTCAAGACTCTTTCATTAACGAAAATAAGGCACTGTTCGTACTGAACGCAACCTTTAGCTGCATATACTAACGCGCAAATCAAGCAGACAAGTTACGCATAAGGACGACAACATGCTTTACCTTATAGTATATGAACAAGTTCATTATTCGATGAAATCAAAACGCAATCAAAAGTGTCTTAGTAGCCAATGGTAACGGAGCAGGTAATGCAGTTGATCAGTTGAAAGACCAGACTAATGAGACTGTTACTACTTATGGCAATTTCGCCTTTTTCGAACATATAAATCAAGCAATCGTCAAGTGGCACGATAAAGATCAAACCGGGAGAAACTGTTATTGAAAAGATACGACACTAGGCTTTTCTAGTTGCGAAAATCTATCTGTCGGTGAAGCAGGCACACAGTTCATTGATAATAGTAGCAATTTTTGCACAAGTTTGATCTTACAACCAGCTTTCAGGTCCACTTTTCCCACAACTCGATTCCTCAAAGCAACGCAAAATACATCCAGATTCTAGAAAACGGAACTCTCTATCTATGTACATCATATTACGAAAAATTTCAACTTTTGAAAAATTCTATAAAATGAAGATATTTGTTCGGTACAGGATGCATTTCTTCACAGATGGATTGAAACCCTATAACTGAGAAACAGATCATAGGAAAAGGCTAAAACTTTTACTATAAATATGACTCATCGAGGTCAACTAGTCACGACAATGTCATCGATTACTGATGACTCTTTAAAGACCAAGAACGTTCGTTCAATCCTGCAAATCCTCCCAAACGAACAAAATATGTATGAATTCTAGCACTCGTTTCAAACCTTAAATTCATTCTCTTCACATATTACCAACTCCCAATGGTCTGCTACGCATATTCTCGACTTTAGACATTTTTCAATCATTACTCTTTATTAGTTCAAAGACGATAAAATGATCTTCGTACACTGTTTATTCACTGCGCCAGAAAACAAATTAGTGTTTTAGTGGATTCTGGAACACTCCAGAGGACCACAGGCTCTGTTCAACATTTCCATTCGAATAGTGCATTTTGCCCGTGCCGTGGGCCTTATTATTCTCAAAACTTCCCTTATATTCATCACGATTCGCCCAACTGAAGACATCTTCACCCATTATCTTATCATTGACCCAATCACCTGTGTATTTGTTGCCGTTGGCAAAAAGATATGTGCCTCGTCCATGAATCGTTTCATCCTCGAATTGACCCTCGTATTTGTCACCGTCAGTCCAAGTGAAAACACCTTCGCCCGTTATCGTATCATTTACCAAATCACCTGTGTATTTGTTACCGTTGGCAAAATGATATGTGCCTCGGCCATATTTCGTGTCATCCTTGTATTGACCTTCGTATTTATCACCATCAAGTCAAGTGAAGACACCTTCACCCGTTCTCTTACCATTTACCCAATCACCTGTGTATTTGTTGCAGTTGGCAAAATGATATGTGCCTCGCCCGTGTCTCGTTCCATCCTCAAATTGACCCTCGTATTTATCACCATCAGGACAGGTGTGGACACCTTTATCCGTCCTTTTATCATTAACCTAATCACCTGTATATTTGTTGCCGCTAACAAAATAATATGTGTCTCATCCGTGTTTCCTCCCGTTTTTTATTTGTCCCTCATATTCATCACCATCCGGCAACGTGTAGTTGTGATAGTAGGCTTCGTCGCTGTAGTTGTCATCATTTGTTTGTTCTGCAAAAATAAATTCATATTTTTTAAGTCCACGAAAACGAAGTAGACGGGGCTACAGGTATAAGATCATTTTTCGGTTCGGTGCAATATGAAAATTTTCAATTTTTCAATTTTTTTGATTGGGCGGAATGTGGCTTCGCTTTTATGGCGAGATAGAAAAGCCACGCTGCTTGTTTGAGTTAGAGTAGAGAGCAACAATATAAGTTGTTTGAGGGTAGGCAATCAGCTGAGCGGGTTCGTGGGGGTGTAATGATATCGTATTACACGCTCAGCACCTTCAGCTTCCGTCCAAGTCCCTAACAACACATCTCCTGACACTCACACCTCATTAGTTCGTGACATGATTGTCTTCGGTTTTTGCCAGCGGCATACCTGAGTTCAAAACTGGGAAGAATGAGGAACAGTGTTCTATATATGTAAATCAACAATATTTTACTCTAAAGTATATATCCAAACTGGTGCGCAGCAAAAGACTTTTTCTGCATCTGCAAAAACTTGCAAACATAACGATGAGAGTGTTCGCATTAGAACTACTGATATTTAGTAGATATCAAAGAATATAGCATAAAGCCAATGAAAGTGATAGATTTTCAAAGCGGTTTTTCCAATTTTGAATGAGAAGATCCAG